CTGTCAACCATCAACTGTCGGTGCACAGGGGTTTAGCGAGGTTAAATCTTGGTGTTAGATGAGATAGAACCTTCTGCACCAGGTCCCCTGGTACCTTTGATGAGTGCAGATACTTCATCACAAAATGTTCCTCACTGCACACTGTAGGTCCTTGTCAATTTATGTTGCCCCAAATTAGAGCTTGGTCTGATACACTTTAACCCATCATGCAATAGTTCATCCTGTCATTGCAATGCAGAATTAAAAAGAAATATGCATCTTATGTTTAGCATACATCATCTCCCACTGTTACACATGTAATAATCTTCTAAATATACCCTCTTATGTCATGTCTAATATATTTATTAAGAAGTACACAACTTTAAACTTTTATTCAGTTAGTGCTAGAATTCTAAATTTCTGAAGAATTTTCCAGTTCAGTAGCGTTATAATTGTGTTTAACACCCCCACAAACACTTACGGAATAAAAATAAATTTCTCTTGATTCTGAATAGTGTTTTATGATCCAGCACAAATCAACTATCCTAAATGCCAAATAAAACCTGAAAAAACATCAACAGGAAAGAACTATTATTTACACCATGACCAATTTGACAATTGTTGTAAAACAAAACAACCTTTCGTCATTTTGATAAGTGAAACATATAGTTGAAATTGTAACACAATGACTATCTAGACAATTGTTGTAAATCTAGAGAGAAAGCTGAAATGAATGAAGTTTTACGTCCTACTTTTCTGCGTCATGTGGGTTAATGAAGACGGGCACTCACTCACTCCAAGAGAAAGCTGAAGATTGACCTGGTAGTGTTATCTGCTTTACTCCTGATTATTTTGTTTCATTTATATGGTATTCTGTCACAATAACAGTAACATATTTCTGTATTTGAAATTAACGGTTGCTGTCATGATCCTTAAACCAGTTAGTTGGACATTATAATTTGAATAAGAAAGGTGGTAGACAGCCCATAAATGAATTGAATTCTAATTATGATTCAGACCACAACTACATATAGACTAAAAAACCCTCATGATAAATCAGAGTAAGTGTGATAGTCAGTAGTTGAATTGTGATGGAATAAAGATGAAAGGAGAATGAAGTCTGAACTGATCTAATCAGAAGATTTTATCGCTACATACAAATTGTGGTTTTATTGGCAATGGTGATATCTCACTTAACTCGTCATTGAACTGAAGAAAAAAAGATAGCATGATAGATTGGATTAAGCAGCTATTGTCTTCCCAATCTTGGTGTAATGAAGGAGAGAAACTAGGTATCGTAAATAAATCTATTTTAATGGAAGATAGCCTCATACAGTCTTTAGAAGATGATTACTCAAGTGATATAATTGAACAACATAAGCACTCTTTCAGAATTCCACATAGGGTTGCCAATCAAAGAAAATCTTAGTGGTTGTTACAGCCTTAAAACCTCAAATAGGGCATGGAATTAGCTTAATGTTTTCTTGAATGGAATGTTAACTACTGTCAGTAGCCAAAGTAGGGCAAGCTCTCGGTCGGCTCTGTTATTAACCTTTTTGGCAATGAGAGTCAAAAGTTGTTGCTGCTGCTAATATTTTCTTCTTCTTTCCACTCTATCTGAAACTCTGATGGACAGCATTTTAGAACCCAATACCTTGTGGCATGATCCTATAATCATAATTTGAGCTTATGAAATGTTCTGGTGTATACACTGTTGTACTTAACTGTCAGAAGTGCAATAACTTGTCAATGTTTTTTTTAGTGATGACCAATCAGAAGTTCTGATTCAGAACACAGGAACAGTTTTTGATAAAATGACCACCACAATTACGAATGTTCTGAGAACAGTTCCAAAGTAATTCTGTTAGTGATCTGCTGTTCCCAGATAAATTTTAAAATTATATAAAGATTCTTTATGTCAAAAGTGCATGCTTAATATTCATCAAAATTGAAGTTGGTATGTGGGCCCTACAAATTAGAACTCTTTGAAATTCAAGATCATGAGGATACCTGTGGTCAAAAAGGAAAACAAATTCTAATTAACAATGAGGTTAATGTTTTCAATAGTGATTTATAGCAAACAATTACCTTTGTGTCACAGGAAGACTTTTTCTGCACGATCAATCTAATCTATAGAACTTTTAGGAAGATAAAAGATTTGTTTCTTAGTTTTTAAAAAAACATAATAAAGGATCAAAAGGAAGACAATACAAACAATGGCATCAAATAAAAACAGAAGACAATGGATGTGTACATTATCACATTGTGTGGATGAAATATTAGCAGTAAACATTACAATAATTTTCTGAATATATTGATTGAACGTGATATACTTACAAAAGTTTGATATCATTTTATGTATTGATGATGCGACATAATGGACTGATGACGTGACTGTTTAGTCAACAGACGTCATGATGTTCAAAGCGTCTGGTATTTTCTGGGTCCATTTCTTTCAATAAAGTGCATAAGATGAAATATGAACTACTCCTTTGTTTAATTTCTGCAATGTTTCAATTCAAAATGTTGCTAAAATTAAACAATTTCTGAATGAAAAGGGTAAATATATCATAATAGTGTTATTTTTTTATCTTATAGACTCTCTACACTATGTCTTTGAAAGTGGTGAATGGCTTTCCCTGACCTTTATTCTCGTGTATTTCAATTCAGGCATGATGAGTTTTTGAAGATAATACATTAAAAAGAACATTACAGTCAAGTCACAGACAGCATTATGTCACTTTCTTTTGTTATTATTACATTTGAAGGAAAAAATAGTCAGCAGAAATATTTAAAGTTATCATCTAATATGCTTTACTTATTAACAAAATGACTAGTGGGAGTGGTGTTTCTATGTATTATTAGATGAGAGCAGTGATGTTGAAGGGGCAAGGACCTGCTCCCCTTTAAGAGAGCACTAGTCATGAATGGTGGGGTCAAAATGTTCTAATCTAGAAAGTGGAGAATCACTTTTGGAAGTGAAAGTGGAATGAATTTTTTATGACCTGAGATGGGAAAAGGGCATGGTTAGGTAGGTAGGTAGGTAGATGAAAAGTTAACGTTCGCTTCCAGCAGATGCTGATATCGCAAACTAGGTAGTTGTTGGTAGTTGTGGTAGTTCGTAGTTCGATTGGATTCTGTGTTATTGGTTTGGTTGTTGATTCTTCGTTAGATCTGGTCGGGTCGTATGACATGGTGGTGAAACTCGGCCCTGGATGGTGTGGCGTGAGTTACTCGGTCTCCTTCATTCTTCCAAACTCGTTCTGATCATGGTATTTCTTGTTGCTTGGTAGTCGAATGGTAGTCGTTGGTTTGAGGGCATGGTTATGCCCCTTTTTTACCCCTGGTGAGGGGGCCAAGTATGGGTCACCAAATTGCTTAGGAGGGCTCTCTATGTACAAAGTCATCTCAGCCATTTTCCATGGAAACGCCACAAGTTGAGAGATAAATCAAGCCCCCTTGTGCTACAGACTGAGCATCAAGGTCCTTTGACTTTTAAACATCAAACAGGTTAGGCAATGCTGCTGTCCTGGCAAGATTTTCCTGTTGAACATAGCGTTAACTGTTTTCATTAGCCCAATCAGTGGCAAAATAGTCAAGACTGAACACTCTATTTTATTTTCTCTATTAGTTAAATCAGCACTTATATTATTATATAAATAACATGGTCTACATGCAAGCTGTCTATTAATCTAACTACCATAATAATATAACTTTCTATCAATATTTACACTCTAGAAATATAATCAATATTTTAAATTTATCATCATGTTTTACTTTTATGCATTCTAACCCAGAATTTAACTGTAGTTTTATTGTTTACAGCCTTTAACTTCATTATATTAGCTGTTATTTAACAGTTTATAAGCTCAAGATCTCATTATTTTTATAGGTATTCAACAGAGGTTTAACAGTCTTTGTATGTGTTATCTCAGAAGATTGATAACAGTTTTGACTTATCTATTGTTTGAATGCATTCAATTTGTCCTTGATAATCTGGTTACCTGTAGGTCTCTCTGGATTTAGGGGAACCACTGATGTCAACTGGGCAAAATGAATGGTTTTAACAGAAACTGTAATATTTTATTGTCCTTAATATATATCTGTACACATTAAGGCTAGATATTGTCTTTTGAAACCTTTTGATAACACTTTGTTTTTTTTATTCCTTCATTAGCCAATGCACTATATATTTTTATCTGGCAAAAAAAATCAAGTCAATGAATAGCCATACTGCTTTGCTATGTTAATGTATCTACACATTAGGTCCTTTCCATGTATTAGGTGGCTTTTCAATATATGATATCATGTCCAACTAGGAATAGAATACAGTACAAATCTATTCCAGGCCGCAGAAAACCCATGTTTGACTTACATGAATCAAAGGCTCTCATTCAAATAGCCACATACACAAATGTCTAGATAATTATGTTAATTGGATAATTATATTGCATGTCTGTGTCCAATTTGTATACCATGTTCTAAATGGATAACAATAACTAGATCATGTTCAGGAATAAATTTTGACCCATTTATATAGTCATTTTCTTAATTCTTAATCTTAATGTTTTTCCTCAACTTATAGAGCTTGTTTTCTTGTTAGATAATAGAGACAAATTTTTGGTGCTATGCAAACTTGATAATTCGGTCTACTTGTATTTGCTGTTAGACATTTAACAGAGGGTTTAATTTCAACCAAATGTACATGCAATAGATATTTCCTTTAGATATATGACAAGGAACTATCTGGTTCTCTCGATTTGAAGGATAGTTTTCTTCTGTTAAGCCGTTAAATAAATTGCAATCAGCTAGTATTGCTAGGTGATCATAGGGTGGTGCTTCGTTATCTTCTTGATCTGAGCAATCACTTTCAGATGCAGGTTTAAGTTGCATTGTTGAACAATCAAAGAAATCGCTCTATTCTACTTCTAAGTGGGTGTATGTTACCTGGTAATCCATTTTGTCTGTTATGAATGCATACAATACTTGTATATGACAGTGTTTTTTTGTTTCTTTTTCAGTCAAGTTTTTATTCCATAGCACTGCGATCTTTAATCTCCATATCAACTGTGATATTATTAGGTTTAATATTAGCATATCATGCTCTAGAAGTTCAGGTAAGCACAATTTATCTAGTCTAACAGTTTTTTTCTCTACTCATTTCCTCTTTTAATTTAATGCCAAAATTTATATGTTTATGTAGTGCAAACTACACCGAAAACATCTGCAAATTAAGTTTATAAACACCAACTCATTTGGTTTGGTAATCGATGTTAATGTTGTTTATTTTTCTAATGTACAAAGAATACAGCATATGATACAAAATGGATAATCTAGTGAGATACAAATTTTTGTATTGTTATAAATGCTTTGTTATACTTGTATTGCTTTTTTAATACGCTTAATTTTCAGCTGTTTTCTTTTATTTAGTTTATTTGTATACACATACTTAAAGCTAGTTGAGTCTGGTTGTATAGCTGTATATATGAAATCTGGTTGTATAGAACCTTTTATCAAATCTGGTCTATAGCACAAGTAATACAGTCTGGTTGGTTGTATAGAGCTATTTATAAATGTGGTTGTATAGCACTAGTTTTACAGTCTGGTTGTATAGAGCTATTTATAAATGTGGTTGTATAGCACCAGTTATACAGTCTGGTTGTATAGAGCTATTTATAAATAGCACCAGTTAGACAGTCTGGTGATATAGAGCTATATATAAGTCTGGTTGTATAGAGCTATTTATAAATAGCACCAGTCAAACAGTCTGGTTGTATAGAGCTATTTATAAACCATTGGTTGTTCAAATTGATGCTATCAGTGTCACCGATACACATAAAAATTGGGAAAACTGTTTTACAATCCCTTTATAGTTCACTTGTATCATAATATGCTAGAATATTACTGATATTCAAATAGTATGAGAAGTCTGTCTGTACTAAATAAAGTACATTCATGAATTTTTCATTTAACAAATATAGGATTTCAATTTTAGTATAATTGTTTCAGATATCTTGATTAAAAATCTAGCTTGACAATTAATAACGAGAATAGATTATTGTTATCGTTATTTTTATTCCCATTTCATTATTCCTATCATTCATCAACCAATCTTTATCATGACGAGCAATTCACACGAAAGATGATTCCTGAAAATAAGCTTTCAATTGGACTTGAAATGTCACGAATAGTTCATATGTTCATGTAGTCCGAAACCTGACAGTTGATCTTGGTTGGATGTGTCTGATTGTTGTGGTCTATAAGTCTGGTTGTTTTGGTCTGTAAGTCTGGATGTATTGGTCTATAAGTCTGTTTACATTTGTCTGCAAGTCTGGTTGTAGTGGTCTGAAAGTCTAGTTGTACAGGTCTATTTTGGACGTAAGCCAACGTTAAATGTACTACAGCATATGTAGAGTTGATATTTTTTCAATTTAATGGATAGGATTTGAAGTGATATATAAAGATAATTGAATTATATTGTAAATATTGAATTAATGACCAATGTCCATGGTTCTGGTTTCATAAACAAATTGTTTAAGAGTATCTACTTGTAAGATTATTAGACAGTGGTAAGAAGAAAAGCATTTTTGTTTACGAAAAGAATATAATCGTGTTTACGAGAAGAAGAGTATATAACATCTATTTACGAGAAGAAGAGTATATAACATCTATTTACGAGAAGAAGAATATATAACATCTATTTACGAAAAGAAGAATATATAATATGTATTTATGAGAAGAAGAGTATAACATCTATTTACGAAAAGAAGAGTATATAACATCTATTTACGAGAAGAAGAATATATAATATGTATTTATGAGAAGAAGAGTAAAAAAACCATGTAATTTTACAAGAAAAAGAGTAAAAAAAAATAATGTATTTTTTTACGCTAAGAAGAGCAGTTATGCATCGTCTACAAACATGGTTACAAAGCAATTTAGTTCCATTCTTCTTTTTAAAAATAACCCAATTTCATTTGGAACCAATTTTCAGAAATATTTTGATAGTTCTTGTTGCTGTTTTAGCATTCAATGTAATAATCAAGATATGGAACTCCTTGGAATTTTTTTTTAGGAAAGTGGCATATATCTGCAACGGTTGGTGGATAGTTAACATGAAAACTCTGAAAAGTTAGAGTATGATATTAATAATCATGATCATTAAACATGATTGATCATTAAAATGTAAACTGCATTACATGTGAAAATCAGGTTACTAGCCAACTGGAAATAAGACACAAACTAGTTTTGGGATCCAGTTTCAAAAGTTCAGTTTGGTGCAGTGTTACTGTATATATATTAACATGTATTTTAGATCTTACTGCAGTTTGCATCTATAATCATGAGAATGAATCTAGCAGGAGGAGGACTCATTGTGTGCAACTTAAAAAAGCACATCATTTGTTTGGTCTAAATGAAATCCACTTTAAATTGGTGATGCCTCTTCCAGCCAATATCATAAAGAAAGAGAGTTAAAAAAACAATATTTTACAAGGATACTGACTCCAGATTACCTGTTCCAATTTACAGCTGGGTCAATTGGAAAAATGAGAAAAGATGACTTATTTAAGCTCACTAGACTATCAATCTTCGACTGATAATTCTCTAACAAACTGCTATTCAGCAATTAAGCTTAATTAGAAACATAGTATATTTGACAATTGTATATTTTCATTTCATGATGAAATAAAACATACAGACCTTGCAGTAAATATACACTTTCATGCTTGACATTTTAGTTCAGAAAGATACTTAGAGTAAGATATGACTTATACATAAACACCACCAGTTAATTATAGTTTTTAGGTAGCATAAGTAGTAATGAACATGATATTAGTCAGGCTTGTGTGGTTTCAATTACTGTTATTCTACCTACAAATACAGTGATTGCTTGTGTCCATCAGTGGCGGCACCAACCTCTCAAGACTGAGAGTACAAATAGGGGACAGACTGACTCAATGGGGGAACAACTGTTGAAGCTGGTATTTAACTCTATGGAGGCGTCAATAGCAAGCCTATTCTAAAGCATCTGAGAGGGTTCTCCCAAGAAAATTTCTAAAAAAATGAATTGATTTGATGCAATAGGACACATAATTTGGGGCAAAAACATATAAATTGTTATTTTTAAATAATGTGGGAGTACAAACCATTTTTCTAGGGGTGCAAATTCCGACCCTGTACCCCCAATGGCGCTTTCACTAGTGTCCATCCTGATCCTGATGTGAAAATAGACTTTGCTCGATTATAAAGTTCAAATTGTTTCTATATCTCAGTTCCCTAAAATGACATTGACATGATATCTAATTGATGAAGTATTAATATCAGTCATCAGGATAAAGGTTTCAGTATTGGTAGTAAGTGCTAATGGATATCCACCGTGAATATTACAATCAATTTCATTAAAAGTTATTGAGTGAAATGTAGCGTCAAACCATGACAAGTACATATTATATATTATTATATACAAACATTTTTACCATTAAGCGTACCAATGTTACTATTTGTTATCAATTAATATCCGTTGATTTCCCTGTACCATTACCACATCAGTCTATTTTAGTGACAATATTCAAATCACAACAATCCATTGTCAATAGTAATCTCTTTCCATTTGTTACCAGACTTAAAAGGATCGGTAGGAGTATGATTGTTAATGTAAATTGATAAAATATCGAAGATGAACCTGCTATATGAAATAGTGTGGGACTGATATTGTTAGTCTCCAGGATTAATTAACTAATGTGAAAAGTGTGTGTTTTTGCACAAAGAACTTTATAGAATAAAATTATCCTGAATTCAGATTATACTGGTATCCTATTCATAATTTAGTGAAACTTGTCTAGAATTGCAGGAATCTTAGACACCAAAGGGAAACTAGAATTATGCGAATAGTAGCTAAAAGTGTCAAAGAAACACATATTTAATCCCTTTGTAGTTTTTATGGCAAGTGAATAAAAAAGAAGTAATAGATGTCAGAAATTCTTTAAGGGAGAGGTCTTGTCTTGGTCATTGATCTTTTTCAAATTTTTTAATTGTCAATTTTTTAATTTTAGCTGACATCAAATGACATGACCTGTATCTCAATTTAACCTGGCATTTATCTAATAATAGCTTTCCTCTGATTTATAATGCAATCTGACATTCATTCAATAGGCTTTCCTCTGATTTAAAATGCAATCTGACATTCATTCAATAGGCTTTCCTCTGATTTAAAATGCAATCTGACATTCATTTAATAGGCTTTCCTCTGATTTAAAATGCAATCTGACATTCATTCAATAGGCTTTCCTCTGATTTAAAATGCAATCTGACATTCATTTGATAAATTCAAATCGACATTCATTTGATAGGCTTTCTTCTGATTTAAAATGCAATCTGACATTCATCTAGTAAATATCTTTCATTGGATTTCATCGGATTTCAAATACATTTCGACATTCAAAGACTTTTATAGGATTTTATCTGATTTCATTTGAGTTTTAATGCAACCTGACATTCATCTAATAAATGACATTCATATCCAACAAATGATTTCATACCCTAAACCATCAAACTTGTTCCTGTTTTGTGCTCTGAAACCAAGAAATCATTTATATCATATAATTAGCACTTTATCGAAAACTAAATAAATACAAACTGCTGTATTACTGGCCAGAATATTTGGTATTAAGCAAAGAATTAGAGAACTTTATCCCTTTTATAAAACAGTAGTATTTGGTAATCCATTGCAAAACCAAATTTATGGCAGCTAAAATATCCTTTGGCTGTAACAATTTGATTGAATGGATATTTTGAGCAATTCGATTTATTCACTTGGAAAAGTAATTAAGTGGTGTTTTGTGAAGCATCTTTAAGATTTTATTGCATCTCTTCAATTCAATTCCTTGACAACGTCAGTGTGTTTTCTTTCTTCTTTGACTTGATTATTAGGTTGTCAATTCAAACTCACAGTCAATTGTGTGAGGAATGATGCAGCACTCTTTATTTTCTTTATAAATGAAATTCAATAAGGAGTTTTACTTGAGATTTCTGTAACAGATTTGTGTTATGAAGGTGGCTGATTACATGCATTGATAGAAATATTGCCAAGACAACTAGATTAGTCTATTCTTTCTTT